TCATTCCCACTTGGCTTGCACCACTGTATCCGGCAGATACTTTTTAATTTTAGTTATTAATGGCTATTACTAGTATCAGTTAACTAAAGGCTGTTAGAAATATTGTCAAAGGCTTATGTATGTAACATTACTTAATTTGAGGAAAGTAGTAACCTAAAATTCTGATGGGCAACCTAATTTTTGCCATAGGTTGGCAACCTGGTTCAAAAAAGTATTGTACACTGCTAGTGTTACCAAGTCTTCAAAGTTCCCCCTGGCTTGTCTGGCTACATAAAGATGTCACTAGCGCCTGATTAGACCTAGTCCCCTTAGACCCAGACCTCAACACATACGTCTCACTTCAACCCTGCAGTCTGTATACACACACTGCAGTCCTCCACTCTCCCGGCTCAGCTCCAATTTACAGGCACTCCATTTTTGGCATTCTTCTGCCTTCTTAGGAATTGGAATGCTTGTCTTATAGAACACGTCACTCACTGGTACAGCCGGGTTCAAACACTAACACATGTACACCAAGCCTCCGCGCGCTACTGCCCTGAGTTAAAAATACAGCAAGAATTCTGTTAGTTTTTGAGTGTGTGTTAATCATGTTACTGTTTTGGATTTACTTGTGTGGTGTACTGGTGCTGGTCCTACTGTGGAACATGCACCACAGGAACGTTAACCAGCAGAGACAAGTCCACTTCCAGCTACCAACACCTGCCTACTATTACTATGCAGCCTTACCTGGGTGAGCTAACATGTACTGTAGGTATTACTGTTGTCAGCACACATGGTAACAAGGATTCTACTGTGCATAAGTAGTAAATGTTTGACTCTAAGAAAAGCTACAGACCATGAATAGAGGTTACTGCCTGGAGCCATTGGTATATACGCAGTTGACTTGATGCTATCTATTATGTGAACAATGCATGGTAATTCTGTATTTAGTGCATCACTGTATCTTTTATAAGATTTATATTATTTATAAGATATAACAGTTTAGCGTTATAAGTTTATCAATTTAGTTTGGGATGGTATTTGAATTTTCAACTTGTCATGTACATTCATTTGATTAAAATGTTTCAGGATAAAGGTAAAGGTCACAGTACAGAATCTATAGAAAGGAAAATGTTCCCAACATCAACAAATTTAGTTTTTGCCTCTGCAAGCATTTTGGGGTTGTTTAAATTGACATTGTGTACTGACATTAGTTTGGGAACAGCCATTCTGTATCCTAGTTGGACTTATAGGTAGTGTGCATACATGTAGTCCACACTTCTGGACAGGAGTTTAAGAGTTCAAATTCCAGCTAATGTCTCTTGTATGACATGAAATTAAGCTGTTAGAAAGGGTAATAATGATTAAATCTCCAAACAGATCGAAAAATCCTTTGGTGGCTGCAAAACAGAATGAAATTGGCCAGGCCTGTTTGTTACCTTCGCCAAGAAGGTTATGTTTTCAGGGACGTTCCTGTGTGTGTCTGTGTGTGTGTGTGTCTGTATGTCTCTGTGAGTGTGTGTGTCTGTGTGTCTGTAAACACGATAACTTGAGAAGGCTGAAATAGATTGACTTGATACTTGGTAGGTGGGTAGGTCTTGATGAGACCTGGAAATGATTAGATTTTGGGCACCCTGGCAGCTTCCTATGGTACTGCAGTAGAACTTCCGGTTTGATATCTTATGATCTAGACATGCTAGGGTCACAAAATTTGGATGATAGGTAGCTCTTGTGCTGGGGAAGACGTGACATAAGTTTGGGCCACTTAAGCCATAAAGATTAACATCATTTGGCAAAGGTATGTGGTCGTGGAACTCTAGTTCTGTTTGAAATGATAATTTAATGAAAATCTGAGTAATATGTAAATTTTGTCTTGAGAAACACTGAATAGTGGATACAGAGTACATAAAGCTTAGGCCTAGGAAAAAAAATGTTGTGTTTCCTGTTTCCTGACCGACCCTGGAAAATCCTGCCGACCCTAGACTTTGTTTTTGAATAAGGCTAAAAAACATTGTACAGTCAGTTTTCCAACTGTTACAGTGACATTGAAAATAGACCTGCACTCATGTAACTTGCTTAAAAGTTTTATTTAAGTTAGATCACATATTAGAGATATTGTCAAAGTGTAGAAAAATAAGAAAAAAATAATCCCTACCTACCGACCCTAATTTTTTCAGGGCTGAAACAGGAAACACAACATTTTTTTTTACCAAGGCCTTACAGTCACGACTGTATGTATAGTCAACAGTAGCAGGTGTTTGCATATAGATAACAGTACACGTGGGGTGTACTGTATTGAACATACAAACATTATACAGGATGTGCTTTAGACAAAACGTAGTCATGTACAATAGGGTTAGCAATATCATTGAAAATGAAGTGGTCATCATACATGTACGTACATTTGTACATGTGGGCAGACTTTGGGCCATGTGCCAAGTGAAGCCAGTCACGGTCACATTAGACAACTGGTCAGCTCGAGCAAGTCCCTTAATGCTTACGTCTATGGGAAAGAAATTTGGACCAAGAAAGCAGTCCTTATGGGCAGATGATTGGATTGTAGAGGACTGAGGTGGTATACTTGGGCAAGTTTGACTGTATCAATTTTTAATGTGTAGCAGTCAACAAAGTTAAATTCATCAGATATTGTCTAGGAGGTTGAGCTTGAAAATGAAGTTCCAAATATGAACAAGTAAAATCTGAGATTTAATACCTCCGGGCTTTTTATTGTATATTTTTATATAGGGTTTTAAACAAAGAATTTATCGAGACCGGACACCCCTCTGTGTGAGGGGTCATATACGTGGACCAGGCCGAGAATAGCTTAAACACGCCAAAGGTCAACGGTCGCGACCACTTTCACGCTCAAAGGGTGTTTTGGGGGCACCAAAAATGCACCATTTTCATGCCCGAAAACACATATACAATAAAAACAAAAGAATGTGCATTGTCTACAGCCCACTAGCAAAACATATACCGAGTCACAAAAGAACCCGTCCACCCAAAAGCGAGAAACCGCTGCGAACATGAAAATCTAAATCTCTCACAAAACCCTTCCGCGGAAGGATGTCTCCTCCCCCGGAGGTAATAACTGAATTTCTAAATCCATGATGGTGTACATTTTAGTAGTATGAAGTTGTACATTTTGACATGGGGAGTGCAGAGTGGCAGGATGACCTTGACTGTGGAATGACAGTGAGTGTGTAGGGTAAGGGCTGGGCTGGCTGCCACACTTCCTCATCCAGTGTCATTTCCTGAATATTTCCCTCAGCCAGGTCGCATAATGTACATCTGTGTTTGTTCAACAGTCTACAGGAAACACTCTACATAGTTCATATACATGTGCATGTGTAGCTGTTGTCATTCCTTAGGCTGACCACAGTTTAAGAGGGCCACTCTTATAGATTCTGTGCTTTTCATCAGACACTTCTAGACTTGTGCAGTAAATCACTGTGAGTAAACACTGGTGTATATTAGGTAAAGGGGTGAAGTCTGCCATCTCTTGACTGCCTAAAAGAGTTATTTGTAGAAATTATGGTGGCTATACTGAACTTTGTGGTTTATAGTCAGGTTTCTTCTTAACACTAGCTAGAGCTGTTTCAGCATAGGGGCTCCCTATACTTTTCAGCATACCCTGGGGCTCCCTATGCTGTGAATTGGACCCCCGATGTTGTGGTTTAGTCCCCTATACTGTCTTTCAACCAGCAATTGTTTTGGGGGATAACCTTGTGAACTTTCTTAAAATCTTTAAAAAAATGAAACTACATGTATTACTAAAGAATTTGTTACTCATTAAGTGTCTCAGAGGGTAGTGCATTTTGGGGAGAATACCAGACCCCCTACTGTTGTCATATCTTCGAGACTGATGCTTCTGTACCTAACCCCTACATTTATGTTGTTAGAAAACTCTTACTCTCCAAGCAGAGGTTTGGGTTTTGGCTTATTTTTAGCGTAACTTTAGCCTTTTTTTATTGGGTTTTCTTTTTGGGACATTTGGGATCTTTTGTTCTGTTCTAGAAAAAAATATAACATAAAAGCCTAAAAACAGGACAAAAATAAGAAAAATAGTAGTCGTAGAAAATTCTGAAGTTTTACAGTTGTCTAAAGCTGTTGTGCTGTTTGTTACAGATCGGAGACAGTCACCACCCTTAAGGACCTGCTGGGCCAGCGCGCTCCCTTCAGTTTCTTCCAGAGGAAGGAGAAGGAGGCTGCTGCCACGGCTGCCAGAGAGACGTCAGCACACAGACCCAAACGGGAAGGACCAGAGAAACCACAAGGATTCCGCTTCAAGACACAACCTGTCACTACTGGTGAGAAATCCACAAAGTAATGTCATCAGGTTGATAGAACATGTTAGGATATTACAGGCATCGAAATTAACTTTTTTTTCTCTTATTGTCCCAGCATCGTCCCGAAAATAAATTTAAAAAATTTCCCGAAGTGAGGTTCCAAGTTGTTTTTCGGGAAGTATGTATGACAACAACTTGAAGTCAACTTTATTTTGCTTACATTTTGACTACCAGGCATGCTATAATTGCAGAGTGTCAAGAAATATGGGTGGCTTTTCCAAGCCAAAAGCCAGGACGCATTTGACGAAAGTAGGGCTGGCATTCTGATGTTGATTATTTTTGTATTGTCCCAAAAATGTCCCAAAGTGACTTTTTAGTTGTCCCAGCCTAAATTTTAGTTGTCAGTGGCCATCGGGACACTGTTAATTTCGAGCCCTGATATTGGGATTTTCCTATTATTCCACAACCGCTGATAGAGTCTTCTCTCACCTTCTTATGATTCGAAACAATTGGGATTAGTTGCATGAAAAAAAAGCTATAGTGTTAGATCCCAAGACTTTCATACTGGTGGCATTTAGAAGCTAAGTGAAGATGAATATCACTTAACAAAACTTATTCAAATCAGAACCTCATTTGCATAATTTATGAGGAAATTCTATATAATTAGATCCCGTTCATACCAGACTTTTAAAAACCGGTTGAAACCGCTAAATAATTAGCGGAGGAAAACCTGGCTAAAACCCTTAGCGTTCATACCAGACTTTTCATAACCGGTTTTGTAAAAATCCTGTCCGGTGAATATCCAATTAATCTGCCATGACTGCAGTTTGAATAGCCGTTCCTCCCGCTCTTCCAATTGTTGTCGCCTTCTTGTATGCCATCTTCAGGTTACGTTCTTTACCTTTAATATACTGCGGCACTGATCCTTTATCTTTGAGAAACTAGGCTCCTCCAACATTTTTGTTTCGGTAGAGCCCCCCCCCCCCCCAGCTTTTTCGAATTCGGCGACTCCTGCTCTCCAAAAATAAGTATCATGAGCGTCCTGTTCGCCGACCAGGTTGCGTATGCTGATTCCATCGCAAAATGAAGAAAAACCGTGGAAAAACAGTGGAAACGAACTCAAATTAGTCAAAACAACGTGATCAAAAAAGCTTGGAGGTCGCACACGGCCAGGATGCTAACCCCATGACCCCGGAATTATGACGCAAAAACCGGTTCAATAAACCCTTAGCGTTCAGACCAGGTTTTTCGGTGGAAAAACCCCTCAAAAACCCTTCAAAAACCACCTCCCGAGGTGGTTTTTCAAAATCGGATTTAAACCCCTAAAAAACCGGTTAATTTGCGTTCACACCAGGTTAAATAAAAACCGGTTTTTGAAAAACCGGTTGAAACCGCTAAATGTAAGTCTGGTATGAACAGGGTCTAATACCCCTATTTCAAAAGGTAAGACTAATTAGATGGAAAATAGGATGAACTGCATCAGATGCAAATGAGGATCTTGTTTTATATCAATGAAAAACATTAATGGTTCAACATTTGTCAAGGTTAGGCCACACCAATTTAATTTGTTGGTTCTTGGATTTTTCCGGAAAAAATATGAATCGACAGGGCAAAAAAAAAAACAGGTCTAGGCATCCTATTATAGTCCCAAATGGTACGATAGGAGCCATGAAGTCAGTACAAAAGGCTGGCCAGGGTTAAATTTTAAACAATGAATTTTGAACTTTTAATCAAATCACTGCATTGATAGATGGAAAAACTGTAACAACTAGAAAGGCCGACATTTGCTTGGGAGCAAATACAGCATATTTCAGTCCATCTCCCTCCCACGCAAAAGTGGACTATTCCAAACTTACCCCAGTGCAAAACTGGCAAAGGTTCTCAAATTAATGAATTAAATAGTTACTATATGAGAACAAAGATGCAACAACAAGTACTTTGAATCTCGAAAGCTTTACTAATCTTATTACAGGTATGCAAAAACTAACAATGATGAGATTTGATACATTTTGAAGGTCTTAGGTACATAAAATTGAATGTGTGGGTCATTACGCACCACAGGTGCAATGTGACCTCAGGTAACCCGCAATGGAACACGTGTTCCATGGATGGAACCGGCCATTCTTTAGATAGAACATGGAACGGGTACAGCACTTTTGGCCCTTTTTTTGCTGAAAATAGCCATTTAAGTCCCCCAAATGAGTCAGTTGGAAGTGGTGTATGCCAAATACATGACTGCTATTCTGTAGACACATGTTCAAGGTACCCTTATACCGAATTTCATATCATTTGGTTGTTAAACCAGGGCTCAGGATCCAAAAATCCTATTTTTTGGACGAAAAATGACCCCAAAAAACCTTCATAAAATTTTCAAAGGCATGTATCAAAAAAATGAAAAAAACGCCTGGGGGTATTGGCCCACTCTACCTCCATGCCAAATTTCAAGTCATTTGGCTGAATGATGGTGGAGTTGAATCCCTTTGACTGTGTGGCAGGAGGAGAAGAAGGAGGAGGAGAAGAAACATCAGAGAACACAATATATTTCATCCATACCATGGTATGGACTGAAATATAACTAGGAAGAAAAGGACTTTCCTCAACTGTTGGGGGCAAAGTATTAAAATTTTTTAGTTGATTTAGAATTTTTTTTTTTACAAAGCAGAACAAAACAGGCAAATCCAAGAACCAACAAATCAAATTGGCGTGGCCTTGACATCATTTGACAAAGGTACATGTGTATGAGGTCATGTTTTATTGGGCCCTGATTGTATCTTGTTGATCTGTCCTACAGCAGAGGTAGAAGAGGCAGCCCAGCAGGGCAAACCTGCGCCTAAGAAACTGGACGACCTGATCGAGGAAAGCAAACCCTCCCTTCTGAACGAGAAGGGGGAGCCCCTGGTGTCCGAGGGGGAGACTGCCCGCATGAGCGTCACCGCACGGGCAGAAATCTTCAAGAAAATCCAAGAAGAAGAGAAAGCCAAGTCTTCCAAGCTTCCCGTTACGTCAGCGGCTCAGCGGAGAATACGAAGGGCGCAGAGGTATGAACGGTCCAAAACACAGCCCATCACACCAGAAGAGCTACATTCTGCGTCACAGATAGCCTCCGGGTCCAGAAAACATGAAGACCCTTCTCCTCCTCCTCAGACCAGTGTGGAGGATGACCAGGATGTTTCTCGCTTGACGTTAGCCGAGAAAATGGCCCTGTTTAATGAGAAAGCTGAACCTCCCAAGCCTCAGCCTAAGATAGCAACACCCACCCGTAAACGTCGCACGGCATCCAGATTTAAAACTCAACCTGTTACAGTGGAAGAAGTACAGAAAGCCAAGATGGGAGAGGCTGCTAAAATGTCCCCACTTGTCATGAGCTTCCAACCTCCCCCGGATCCCGACGCCATGTCCAGTCTACCCATAGACCAGGCGCGGGAAATGCACGCCCAGTTCTATAACAGCGGCGTGTCGCTGGCGCGCTCGTGGTCAGATCTACGTGATGCCGGTGCTCCTGCCAAACCCGTCCGTGGGATCTTACGTCAGGACAAGAAGGAACATGCTGCAGAACCGAAGTCTATCCTGGAGAGGAAGGACAGTAGAGGGGAACAGTCTCCTAGAAGTATACTCAAGAAAGATGCATCTGGCTTACCACTCTCTCCAGACACCAGAGTTAAAGGGATTCTTAAGAAAGAAAGATCGTTTGAGAGCGCTCACGAGGAGCCAAAAGTACGCGGCCCGTATAAGTCAGACATAGACGAACCCAGAGTGCGAGGAATACTGAAAACCCCTGAGCGGAGGATATCATCTGAAGAGCCGATGGAAGGGATTTTGAAGAAGGCTTCTCCGGAGTCTCAGGTTCCTGTGGAAGGAATCTTGAAGCCTAGATCGGACTCTGACACGTCTCGTGAGGTGCGAGGGATTTTGAAACACGAGAGAACTAGTGCTGATGACGAGGATGTAAACGGTGAACTGACCGCAGCGCCCGGTTGGGTGGCCGGTGCCGCACCTGGTCACGTGTCCAGACTGCGGCCAGGGGACGTAGTGGACGGGGGTGGACACTCCAAGGCGGCCGGAGGGGAGACCACGTCGCCCAGACGGCGCCGCTTCTCTCAGGAGCGTCACATGACCATGCCTGTGACTACGTCTGAGGTCGCTGAGGCAGAACGAGCCACGTCTGAGGCTGAGAAACAGTCCTCTGTCATTGCTTCCAGGTACACTTCTGAAATTTCTAACTTCTAAGTCTGCCATATTCTGCTTCATTTTGCCTCATCTTACTACTGTCTGCATTATATAGGCCACACGGGTTTAATTTTATGGATGACAGCCACGCACGCATTGATTTTTGCCAATTTTTAAAAATAACAGAAAAATCACCTCCTCTGAGGCTGTGGCCTGGGTGCCATCTCCCGTAGTCCATGGTAGCCAGCGACAAAAGGAAGCCGGTGGTAACTACAGAGGATGGCATTCAGGCTACCGAAGCTCCACAGAACTCTAGAACTCAATACAGTACCGACTAATAAATGCTGCAAAAGGCCAGTATGTACCGGCTTGTTGTCAAAGTAGCTGTGTACTACTGCAAATTTGCAATAGTACCAGCTTTGTATTCCTGTGGTTTAGCAGCATTTTTTTTGGGGGGGGGGGTGCTGTGATTTTTTTCTTTCTCTCGTATGCACTAATTTTGGGGTCTTCAGAGGATGTGTCATCCATAAAATGAAGTCAGTGTGGCCTTATGTAGTTTTATCTGCACTAACATTCTGCATCTGCCTTCTGTAATGTACTTTAATTTTTATATCTCCTAATAACTACATGTAGTTGACTATCATCATGAAATAAGGAAATCATTTTAATCCATCTTTCTTGAAGCTTCTTGGTGCCCATAAGTCTTCATTTTTCTAACTTGCTAATTAAAAAAAGAGGCCAGTTTGACATGTTATTACTGACATTTTGCATTTATGTACTGTTGCTTGGGGCATTTCAACAGGAAAACACTATCTGATGGATTGTTATGTTTTTAATAACACCATAGGCACATCAGATTTCTCTGATCCTATTTTTCCTAGATTGAAAAAAAAATGACAACAGCTCCCATTCAGCAAAATTCCATTCACCGAATAAAATATTATTCATTTGATGACTTTTCAGTTGCTTCAGTTTTTTTTTCTAAAAAAAAATCTGAGAAGAAACAAAATTGACTAAACTTACTGTAAGTTACACACTCAGTTATTTAGAGTTCAATTATGATTGCATTGACTGATTGAGTCTGATGATGATGATGATGATATGTTTGAAATTCCTCAGTCTGATATACCATGCGGTAGTGCATGTTTAAAAATATCATAAACAAACAAAATTAGTAGACAAAGTCTGAGTCAGATCTCTTTCATACAAGACCAAATTTAACTATTATAAGTAAATTCCAAAACAGTACTATGTAGTCCATAAGTTTTTTTTTCACGTCAACCATTATTTTATTTTATATAAACCAACATTTTGATGACCGTCTGTCATCTTCATCAGGACTAATATGACTGGTTTACTGTGCACTGGGGCCACATAATTGTTACTTGGTTCACTGTGCACTGAAGCTCGGTGTAATTAATAATGAACCATGTAACATCTAGCTTCAGTGCACAGTATATTAGCCCTGATGAAGATGACAGGCGGTCATCAAAACGTTGGCTCATGTAAAACAAACTTTATGGTTGTGAATTAAGAACTTCATTATTCAGTATTGCATACTTTCTCTCAGCTGGTGTTTTCTCTGCTTGGTGATTTCATACATTGTTGCTTGTGTCTAATCTGGGAGGCTGTGGGGCTGGGTGGCTTACTGTGGTTAACTCTACTGACACATTCACCTTTATATACTCCCACCCTGCACAGGGAGGATGAAGTCAACAAGAGGTGGGTGGCTTTATTAACTAACCAGAAACTCTTGTACTTCATAATCATCTTGTGCATTCTTATTAACTATATTAAGTTATAGTAACCCCTGTTATTTGATAGTAGCAATTACCTCTATCGGCTCTATGATTATCATTAAGTGGAATGTGATCAACTGAATGTAATTTATGCAAATTAGGACCTTATTTTTATAATCAATGGAAAACATTTATAATTTGTTAGTCATAAAGGTTAACATCATTTGACATACATGTAGGTATGAGATCTTGGAGCTCTAGTTGCTCATGAGAACTGGCTTTTGCCTGACAATTTTGCATGACCCAAAGTGGACGACAATACATTTGTAGGTACCTGTAGTGTATGAGAATGAGTACTCTAAATCACTGTATATTCGCGGGAGCAAAATTTCGCAGTCTGAGAAAAATGGACATGTTCGCAGAACTATAATGTTTGCGCTGGCGGCAAGTGCAGAAGCAAAAAAGTCAGAAATGATAAATTTGCGAGAAGTGATCGCGAAAAAACGCAAATACAAAAGTACCGTGAATATCAAGTGATCAACGGTTAACTGTACATGTAGTGCTACACATGTGTGTTACATGTAATTGTGGCCTATACTTAATCATGGCTGTTCTTAATACATAAACAGGCTGGCAGCGCTGAAGAGATCAGGAGAGGAGGACTGGAAGGCACGACTACAGAAGGAAGACGCCTCCCAAAGTGTGACCCTCAGGGACCGCATGTCCATGATAGAAGTAGCAGAGGAGGGGTGGAGAAAGAGGGTGAGTGTTAGCCTTCTGAGCTGTATTCCCACAAGCAAGTTCTATACAGAATCTACCTAAAAAGTAAAAGATACATGTACATGTAGTTGTCATGTCAAACTCTTTCTCTGTTTAGAAATACAAACATGTATGATACGCAAGATTGGCCACACCAAGATGATTATTTGCTTCTTTTGAAGATATTGCACTGAATTGGTCCAGGACTTACACTGTCTAAAAGTGCCCCCTAGCATCTTGTTTTCAAACTGCAAGGTCTAAGTTCATTTGAGACATTGGAGAGTTATAACTTGGAGTAGTTCAGAGATTGCCCTAATATTTTGTTTGTAGACTTTGAAGTGATGATTGACAAAATTATAAGCTAATTAATATGTAAGTCAAGAGCTAATTTGCATACTAAATGAGGAAAATTCATAAATCAGCTGAGTTCCACGATAGTACTGACTTGACTTGACCCGGCCATGTTTGGTCTGTAGGTGGAACGAAGGCCCAGCCTGACGCGGCCAGAGAGACCCACCAGCCTGGCTGACCGCCTGTCCAAACTGCAGGACAGCAGTGAGACGTGGAAACAGCGTGTGGGCAGTAAGGACGCTGACCAGTTCACCGTGGCCGGCAAGCTGGGCGCCAAGGGCATGTCACCACTGGCCTCTCCTGCACGGTCACCCATGGTGGAGCGCAAAGTCAAGTCTGTGCCCAAACCTCTACAACATGGTACTTATTCTTTGTCTTGGTTTTAAGGCCACACCAAGTAAATTTTATGGATGACGTCCTTTGGAGACCCTAAATCTAATGCGAGAGGGCAAAAAAAAAAACAAGAAGGGCCCTATGAAACAAGATGCCTAGATTAGAACTATACTAAGACGACAAATGTTAGGACACAAATTGAATGAGGTGACACAGTGTAACAAGCAAGAAGTCTTTTATTCATCATCAAAACAGCGACGTCATCCATAAAATTTACTTGGTATGGCCTAACTTTGGTCACACTGCCTTAATTTTATCGATTGACATCCTCTTAAGATTCTCAAACTAGTGCGTGCCAGAAAATTAAAAAAAAAGAATTCCAGACCAAAAAAAATGGTGCTAAACTACACAAATACAAAGCTGGTATATTTTGAATTTGCAGCTGTACAATTTGCAGAGACATTGATTTAGTTCATGACTAGATGACCAATGGGATGGATTGATGTGTAATTACTTTATGTTTCCACCAATAGCAGATCCCGGGAGTCTGTTCAAGGTGCCGGCCGCCCCTCCACCAGCTGTAGCACGAGCACCAACACAAGACCCAGGCCTCCAGCCACACAGAGGTGAGTTACGCCATACAGTCTGTATAGTAAGAAGGTCCAGTGTCACTTTGAAACTGTAAGGCCACACCAATTTAATTTGTTGTTTCTTGGATTCACCCTGCCCATTTTTTTCTGATTTGCAAAAAAAACATTTTAGGTTCTAAATCAACAGCAAAATGCTCAATGCAAGACATATTTTGGCCCCAACAGTTGTTCAATGTAACAATGCAATTTTGTTAAAAGTTCAAAATCTATTGTTTTAATTATAAACAATGGATCATATTGTAACATTTCTGGCTATCATGGGGTGCCTTGGCCTGTTTTTTTTTTTAATTTCACCTTGTCGCTTCATATTTTTTTCTGAAAATATCCAAGAAACAACAAATTAAATTGGTGTGGCCTAAGGGCCAATTACGTCAGATCCGCATGTGCCGCAAACATCTTGAACTACATCCTCAAGGTGGATTACTTTTCATTAAATTTTGGATTGTAGAAAATTGAACCGATTCACAGCATTCACACTCCAAAAAATGATCTGCATTGATGAATTCTGATCCGAATCAATGCTCAATCTGGATTCAGTCCAGTTTTATTTAAAATCGACATGCATGTACAAATGTACATGTACATAATGATTGAACAATGCAACATGAAATATGTCACATTTTACAGGCACTGCTGTTCAAGATTTCAGTAACAGTAATTCTTAAGCGCAATTTGAAACACCTGACACTAAACATGATTGTAACATACTACAGGTTGTATAGATTCTGAATAAAATTATGAGTATTAAATATACAGGATACATCAGATGCTTAGACCACATTAACTTTAAAGCTCTTGGTAGAAAAGATCTGGATCATATTTTGAGGGTAAACGGGGTCCTAAAGAGAGCCATGTTTAATGGACCTATACCAATATTACGTCACAGTTTGTTTACCTGTTCTAAAGAACATTCTAGAACGGTCAGTTAAAGAATAAAGATCATTTCAAAGTTTTCAAAGTAAAGGTATGTCTGATTTTTGCTGCGTCTAGTTGTGCTGACACAGCATTACATGCCGCATACTTATTAGGTGATTTAGTTGTGACATTAGACGAAAGTAGTACTGTATTAAAAGGCTGACGCTACACAAACACACAACGCGCTACGCACCCCTGTACAATATAAACGTCGATTGACCGACATTCATTGCGGTAAACAAAATGTGACGTAATAATGGTATAGGTCCATTGATCCCCCCTTTGCCTTGCCTCAATACCAGCTATGCAAGCCCCCAAACCCCCCGAGCCTGAGCAGGTGACCAGGACGGCAGTAGGCAGACCTGATGATGAGGAAACATTCGAGTCCTTCTACAAAACCAAAGCACCTGTAGATGTGGGGCAGGTGGACGTCAGTCTGGAGGACTTTGACCAAATCAGCATCGATGCTCTGGTCAACACACCAAGGTACACATTTACATGTATATTTCAGTCCATACCATGGTAGGGATGAAATATATTGTTCTCCCTTGTGTTTCTTCTCCTCCTCCTCCTGCCATTTCTTTAAAATGGATTTTTCAATTTCTTCATTTTGGGGCCAAATGACCTGAAATTTGGTATGGAAGTAGAATGGCCAAATACCCCCAAACGTTTTTTTTTCCTTTAATTTCTTCTGACAATACTTTTTTTTTATGGGGATTCAGAAAACAGTAGAATCTACAGAACAGTTAGACTTTATCTTTATTATTATTAGTCAATAAGTTCAGAAGAGCATTATGTCAATTTGTTTTGGACCTGGTACAACTGGTATACATTGGTAGGTCAGGGTCTGAAAAATTCTGGACCGTACAGATATTGTACTACATTTTGGGTCAACAACTTCCCAAAACCAACTATAGGAAAAATGGTACACTTCCACAGATTCCAAAAAAGAAGTCAAACCCAAAAAGTGACATAATAATTGAATTGCTTCATACTTATTAGAATCATAGTCTTGTTCTGAATAGAGAGAGAGTAACTTACAGTAACATTGTTGTGTTGATTATTTCCACTACAGTCTATCTCAGACCCATGCCCAGCACAAGCGAGCGCTGCGCCCGCGCAGGAAGGTAGCTCCTGTGGGCAGTAACCCTCTCAGGAAACTCCAGGAGAGAACAGACATCAAACAGGAGTATGAGGAGAGACGGCTGGGCGTGGCTGACATGGAACTCAAGAGAGCAACGGTTCAGAAAGGTAGAGATATCCAGGGGACACAGTCTTCATTGGACAGTCAAGTCAAGGGGAAAAATGTGTTTCCTGTTTCAGTCCTGAAAAAATTAGGGTCTGTTACTCGGTAGGAGGAATTAAGACTTTGGAGGCTAGGAGTTAACTTGTACATCATAGAATACTACACGGTTTATTCCGTACCACCCGAGGTATCAGCCCGACTTCTTGTCATATTGCCAGACGGCCGAAGGCCAGAGATCTGATCTGCGGGAGGGCTGGGACCGAGGGCAATGCAGAATACTCCGCGTTGTATTTTATTTATGTCATACCCACCCAAGAAAACACGCATTTCAATGCAAAATGAGCGAAAATTTGGTGTCCCTAAACCAAAAAAATACACCAACATCAATTCCAACGTCCGAATTCTGTATTCGAATTTTCTAAAGCAGTGCACGCGGATAGGGCGAAACGCGTTTGAATCGTTCTATGGAAGCCCAGGCCGTACGCGTGAAGAAGCCCGGGCCGTACCGTAAACTACGGCCATGTCCAGAACACCTGTATTGAACGTAATCGCGGCCCATGGAGGTATGACATAAAGACTGCCGTGGATATCAGATTGTTGACTATATTTTTTGTGTGTGTGTTTCAGTGAGTCAGCACGCAGGTTTTGCCAGCTCAGCCCTGGCCGGCCTGGCCAGTACAGAAGACTTCAGTAACGTGTCCCTCCGCAGTACCCAGAGTCAGCAGGCATCACACGAGCAACTTCTGCCATACAAGGACGTCATGCTGCTACAAGTGAAAGGTCAGAATTCAGGGCTCCAAATTCACTCTTAGGAGTACAAAAAATGTAGGTGCACCGGTGCACAAAATTGGGTGCACAACATTTTTTTTTGGTGCACCACATAGTAGAATGTCATAAAAAACTAATGATGTTTCATTTCTAAAGAAAAATAATACAAGTATTATTTTATCATTTTTGTGACACTTAGATGTTAAGAATATGCTAAATACCTGTACGTAAACCTAAGAAAATATTTGGGTGCACTGGTGCACCCACAGAAGAAAAATTGGGCTCCAAATTTGGGTGCACTAAGGTGCCCAAAATTTTCGAGTCCTGTATTTTAGAGGCACACAGAGCGATTTTAGGGCAGTAAAATTGGATTTTTAAAGTCACTTTTATTAATTTCTGGTAATTTTTAAGTGTAGAAAGTAGTACTACCCTATACATGTGTCTGTATACTTAATACAAAATGAATGTATCATCTGTGAGGCAAAAATGTGATGTTGGAAAATGGTAACAATTTTGGCATCGTAGACTGGTTCTAGCTATATATTGGTGGTACATGTACCAAAAACACTTGATGTAGAAGTTAAAGCAGCTGTACATTGACTGTTTTTATTTTCAGGGCGCCGACATGTCCAGACTAGACTAGTGGAGCCCAAGGCAGTATCACTGAACAGTGGAGACTGTTTCATCCTGGTTACACCCAACATTGTCGTCAACTGGATCGGAGAGTTTGCAAATGTCATTGAAAAGGCAAAGGTGGGGACTTAGTTTAGGTTCAGTTCTATGATATTTGAATTAGACCATGTTGATTTGATTAAATGGATGACATCCTCTGGGAACCCCAAAACTGATACGAGCGTGCGATTAAAAAGAAAAGTTGCCTTCAGTATGAAATCTAGGTGGTCATGAAGGTTGAACAAATGACTAAACACACAGTCTGAGTAATACTTTTTTGGCATGGTGAATAATTTGACTCATTTTCATTCCTTCACATTTTCTTCTTGTCCTTTAAATTTGGAATTCGGATTTTGGCATTCTGTGACACAAGTATTGTTTTCCATTATTTTTTTTCAAGTTACGGCATATATTTGCTCAATTTGCAGCTACTTTGTAGGATTTAAAATATATTCGAAAACTTTTTTAAAACTTCATATGCACGCGGATGTCATCCATATATTAATTTAAATCAAATCAACATGGCCTTACATTTTACAAATGACTATGAGGAAACGTTGGATGTGGTTACTTGATAATCTAGCTGTATCTGAAATCCAGTCAGGCAATCAGGTTATTTGTGTGAATTACAATCATGTAATTCCACTAAGTCAACAAGAATGAAGATTACATGTAGTTAAGGCTGCATTATGTAATAACATTAGGATGATACAAAAAGTAAATTTTCTGGTCATTTCTTCACAAAGTAAGTTGATTCAACCCTACTCCATTGTAAATAATTATAAGTGCCAGTCAGGAAATATACGTGCCATTAGATATGATGCTTTACAAGTGTGGTTGGAAGCTTGAAACATGTCAGCCATGTTTACTTTCTGGTAGTTTGTGGTGGTACTACAAACTGAGTGCCCTTCATGTGGGCTACCTTAACGCCTGCAACCATAAAAGTCAGAAATGTGGCATACATGTAATAGCACAAATGTGTGGATTCGAGCACAAATGTGTGGATTCGAAGTAAATGAAAATTTACAAATATTTTCTTGAATAAAACATTTCACTTTTTGATGCAAAAATGTAACATGATGCCTCTTTAAAACTTTAAATGCTGAGAACAAGGTACATGTACATGGACTATGTGTTGAAGACTGACAAATTTTTTCATGTTCTACCAATAGTCTGCAGAAATAGCCTCGGTTGTCCAAGCCAAGAAAGACCTTGGCTGTAAGGCTAGTACTCTCATCAACCTGGAGGAACCCAGGAAGGAGCTTCACAAGGCTAAACCATTCTGGAAGGCTCTGGGAGGCAAGACTGACTACCAAGGTACAACATTGTACTACCATCATACTATTAGCATGTCAGCAGAACACACTGCACCTGCACCTGCGCAAAACCCCTAATGTATTGTGCATAGCACGTTGGCAGAATGTCTTGTTTAAGGTCGTTTTTGCATATTTAAGGACAACATCCAGTCAGCAGTTTTCAAATGTTGTGTCAGAAAAGATGCAACATTGACCAAACATCCAACAGGAACCTGAGTTTCATGCACACACAGTGAATTCTGCCGACAATTTTTGAGTGACTTTTTTTGGGTGTTGGGGGGTGTTGGCATGCATGGACAGTTTAATTTTCAATCATGAAAAGCAGAAAAGCAATCACCAATGCATAGTTTATTGGATGTCTTAAGTTTATGATTATTACAATAAATTGACTAATTATAGCTATTGATAATGAAACTGCAAGAATCTTCACAGTGACTCTGTGACAAGTGTAACATGATGGCACACTGGTGGCTTTGTTTAACTAAATAGTTTTTATTGCTTAAACTTGAGCTTTGGGTCCTTTAACTACTGAAATCCCCATAGGGCATATTTATAGGGTGTTCTGCTACACCCATAGGGTGTTACATGTACAAAATGTATGCTACCTTAGGCCACACCAATTTAATTTGTTAGTTCTCGGATTCGCCTCTTCATTTTTTTTCTGTTTTGCAAAAAAAAAAGGTTTTGGTTCTGAATCAACTACAAAATGCTCATATTTTGCCCCCAACAGTTGAGAAAAGTTTTCTTCCTACTTGTTACAGTTTTTCCATCTATCAATACAGTGGTTTTATTTAAAGTTCAAAATTTATTTTTTTAAATATTAACCCAGCCTTTTGTGTTGACCTATCATTATAGCATTTGGGGCTATAGTAGGATGCCTAGACCTGTTTTTTTTTTTACCCTGTTGCTTCATATATTATGTTTTCTGAAAAAAATCCGAGAACCAACAAATTAAATTGGTGTGGCCTAAGAACAATCTTGCAATATTTGAGGCTAACTGTTTATGTTGTTCCCAGATGCTGGTGATGTGAATGAAGATGAGATCTATGAGATGAAGGTGGCGGCCACTAACTGTGTGTACCAGGTCCAGGACAACAAGCTGGTCCCGTATGAGGACTACTGGGGCAAACTGCCCAGAATAGACATGCTGGACTCCAAACAGGTACATGGACATGTGGTAGAACCAAATATGTACGGAAATCTACTTGTAAGGCCATGCTATTATGGATGACATTCTCTGAAGACCAACCAAACTAGTGCGTACGGGCAAATAAAAGAACATTCCAGCAAAAAAAATGCTGGTAAACCACAGGAATACAAACTGGATAATTGTGAATTTGCAGTAGTGTGGAAATTTTTACGACAAGCTGGCACATGCCTAAATTTACATGCTTGTGCATTGAAAATAACTTCATCATTCCAATTGAATTTGAACATAATTTGATATTTCTTTCAGTGTTCTGCAATATTGCAGAATATCAAAATTTTGTTCAGCAATTTATTAAATACTTAAAGCAAATACACACGTAAGAGTCCAGATCTAAACCCATGGCATATACAAAATTTCATGTTTGCAAACATTTTACATGCAAAATTACAAATGCATATTATAGAGTCTGCACACAAACACAAAAGCTCTAAAACACCATATCCCTAGCCTGATTTTTTTGCCTGCAAAAGTGCAAGTTGCTTAATTTTCAATCTGCAGTAACAAAAATGTCGCATGTGGGTATTTCTAACCTTGCCCCTACTACTAAGGCCTAGGAAAAAAGATGTTGTGTTTCCTGTTTCAGTCTTGAAAAATTAGGGTCTTTTTTTAGACTTCAGTGATGTCTATATAGGGGTCCAACTTGTACAATGCAGTTTGAGGACACTTTTATCTTCAATTATCATTGTTAGAAAACCAATATTGTACAACGTTTTATCACTCAGGTGTCAGATTGTGGAGCTAGAAAAGGTTGATCAGCTCGAAAAATTATGTCCCTTGCAGGGGTCCACCCCCCTCCCCCCCAAAAATATAGGGTCGGCAGATTTTTCTAGGGTCGGTCAGGAAACAGGAAACACAACATTTTTTGCTAGGCATAAAGAATTTCCATGATATCTAATACACCCTGTTCCTCCACCCCTGCAGGTGTTAGTGTTTGACTTTGGCAGTGAGCTGTACGTGTGGCAGGGTCGGCAGTCGGACTTCAACAAGCGGAAAGTCGGCGTGAAGCTTGCTCGCCAGCTGTGGGAGATGGGCTACGACTTCTCGGAGTGTGACATCAACCCCATCTATCCACAGGGAGGCATGCCAAGGTGCACACACACAGTCATCTTCTCTTAAAGGCATCCAATGTTCTTTCAGAGCTGCTGCAGCAAAACTTGAAGTATTCTGAATAAGGCAATCTTTATGATATTGACACAAACTGCTTAACATTAGCACATTGTCATGCTTTGGGACAGTATTTAAAACATTACTGTAGAAACAAGCCTCAAGATGAGTCCTTAATTTATCTTATGGGTGGTACCCTAAAAATAAGCCCATGGCCAGGGCCCTTCCAGTAACCATTTTCTGTCAGAATTTGGGGTATTTTTGTTCTAGATATATATTGGGATAGTGTGGTTTCAACTTAGTATGTAAATAAGTGACTAAAAGAGTACTATTGACTTTGAAAAATCAGGTTTTCAAGCCCTAAACTGAATTGAATTCCTTTAAAGTGCTTATGACACCAAAATATGACCTTATCTGATTGTAGTTGACATATCTAGTATTACCTGGCTAACAGACACATTTACAATAAATATGCACGGTTCTCCTGTTACATTCGAAATTTCAATGCCCTGATTTTGGAAAAGTCAGCACAAGCCAGCTGCCACAGCAGACAAGTTGCACTCTACATTTTATTTTACAAAATTTGTACTATTCTGTATTTTTTCCTGAGCTGACATCAACTCGTGTGCAAAGGCTAGGTGTAACAAGTCGTTCGGTGTGCACTGCATGCTGGCAAAGCTGCCAAGGGGCAGTTCTGCTAGCTATATACAGAATGATACAGGACTGGTACTGTTTCCTCCTACAAATGTAATATTGAAGCCAGTCCCAGCATCCATGGTTGCAACATAACCGTTGTTCTCCTTGCTCTGCTGTGTCAGTAAATCGTCCAAGAGACCTCCGTGGGCGCTGTTTGCCAAGGTAAACGAGCGGATGGAGACTGTGCTGTTCAGGGAGAAGTTTGTAGACTGGCCAGACTCCACTCGCATCATCAAGTGTAAGGGCAACGATGGGCAAAATGTCAAGGTAAGACAGAGAATGGTACACTTTACAACAGCCATGCTGATTGGTTGAAGCTGGGAACATTGGTACACTTTACAACAGCCATGCTGATTGGTTGAACCTGGAAACATTGGTACACTTTACAACAGCCATGCTGATTGGTTGAACCTGGAAACATCAGAATGTATAAATTTGCATCTGTATGTAAATTTGTGACTGTGATTAGTATATACAATACATATTAAATATGTTTTTTCCACTTTAGCATTTTCATTGGTTACTTTTTGATAATGATGTAAAACATTAGTCATAAAAAAAAAACTGTACCAGTTTTCCAAAAAGATGTTGTGTGAAATGAGGAAAGTTTAGGCAACAGTTTTATCTACCTATAGGAAAAGCTATGATCATTGTATTGAATGAAATTTTGCAAGAGTGCAGTGTACTTTTACTGCATGTAAAATGCCATGTCTACAATATTTATTTTGACACAAAAAAGGTACGGCGAGTTTCATAAGGTATGCATGATTGTATATTATGTACAATCTGGCATATGCATTCAAACAAAGACACAAGAGTGGATTCAAAATGAAGTAACCTACATACAAGTATATGAAATAAATTACATGTTTTGCTCATGTATTACTGGTTCTATTATATTATATCTTAGGTCTAAACATTTCTTGACATATTTCCTGTTTGTGTGTCAGACTGACGTGACCCTAGACCTGAAGCCGTATGATGCCAAGTTGCTGGTCCCTGTCCCTGAGGACCAGACCAGGTTTGTGCTGGAGGGTGTGGACGTCGGGCGGGGCACAGGGAGTGTCAGTGTGGAGGAGAGGCGTGGTCAGGAGATCACTACACTAGGTATGTCCTTAATATATTTAGAGTTAAGGTGGCAGAACACAGTTTTCGCCCTATGGGGATTCCTATAGTTAAGCACCCCGAGGTGACTCACTTTGACGCACTAAAGAATCACGGCCAACTAATATGTTGAAATATACGGTATATTCTACAAAATAACTGAAAACCAAAAAAAGTTATGGTTTTTTAACATAAGGCCACACCAATTTAATTTGTTGGTTCTCGGATTCGCCTCTTCGTTTTTTTTATGATTTGCAAAAAAAAAATTTAATTCTGGTCCTGAATCAACTGAAAATGCTCATGTTTTGCCCCCAACTGTTGAGGAAAGTCCTTTTCTTCCTAGTTGTTACAGTTTTCCCATCTATCGTTGCAGTGGTTTGATTAAAAGTTCAAAATTCAATGTTTAAATTTTAACCCAGCCTTTTGTGTTGACTTCATGGCTCATTTTGTAGCATTTAAGCCTATAGGATGCCTAGACCTGTTTTATGGGTTTTTTTTTTTTGCCCTGTCGCTTCATATTTTTTCTGAAAAAATCCGAGAACCAACAAATTGAATTGGTGTGGCCTAATGACGACCATTG